GAAACGACCACGTCTTTTGCTAGGGGATACAAGAGAACCTTAACTTGCCGCATCGTCGCGCGCGGCGCATCGTCTGGCGATGAGCGCGGGAAACTTAACGTGGGCGTCACGCGGGGGCAGACGCGCGGAATTCAAACTTGCGTTAGTTTCTCGATTGGAGCAGCGAAACTCGTGGAAATCTCCACAAATTTTTTTTTGATTCTTTCCATATTTCCGAGCATATTTCACGTCTTCTTATTTATTTATTGCTTGTATTTATTTATTGCTGTCATAGTTGACTACAGAGCATAAACAGCACCATTTCCCGTCCCTTTAATGTTCAGGCTCGAATGGCCGAGCAGAAGACCTGCTCGCGACGCAGCGTCGCTCCCCATGCCTGCCAGCGCGGCAAATTACGATTCTCTTGTTATACACCCCTTTGCCAGATGTTTCGATTGGCTTCTTTAGCAGAAGCCTATTCGGAAGCTTTTAAGACGCTCGACAAACCCTTTTTCTCGAACGACTGTCTACTTGATGGCTATTCCCACCAGGGAAAGTCAAGGTCGTGGACGCTATGGCTTGGGGGAAGGGGGGGGGGGGGGGGAGATATTCGTCATGCTCTGTATGCAATACCTTTCACGTGGTCGTCATGAGGAGGAACTTCCCCCCCCCCCTCCAAATGTCAATGGTGTGCTCTGCTATCTGCCTATTCATTGAAGAGTGGATACCCGGACTAATGACCACGCCCATTAAAAGATCTGATATCTCACCTCTCAAGACTCCTCTTCCTCCCTATCAGTTGAGTGAGGCGTTGTTGAGTCCCTGAAACTTTCTACTTCTAATATCCTATCCATACGAAGCGAGCTGCTTACGGCAGGTGACACGCTTTCGTGCGGGTTCGGTGGTCAAATTCCGGATATACCCACGCAGGCTAATCAAACCTATCATCCGGGGACGGTGAATTGGTACCAGATTCGTCGGGCAGGAGAAAACGCTGACTTGTGCATCCGCTGGCCCCACTCGTGTTATAGGCCCACATCGCCCACTTTAACCAGACCACTCGATTGTTGACGGAGTGCTGCCGCATCTCAAAAATGTGAAGTCTGTCAATGACGATGGCGAAAACTTCTTGTGGGACCCGTGCTCAACACCATCCAGTGCTAAAAGCCTAGAGTTTTCAGTCAAACCTCCTCTTGAGGTACCAGACCGTTGTACCATCCATTCTTTATGGTTTGCTACACTCATTCTGAGAGAGGTGCACAGCGGAGTCTGTGTGTAACAAAAAGCAAACCTGAGTGATCGCTGAGATTGCGTTTCGATTCCGCGCCGCGAGTCTCTCATGCCCTTGAGGCAGTTCTGTGATTCTCGAAAAGGAAAGCGTGGGATCCATGCGTGAGAGGAAACGTCGTAGTGTTCAGTCCCCATGTCACGCGCTGTCGGAATTACCGTTAGTGATATCATATCGAACCACGCGATCTTGCTTCAGCTGACTGCCACACCCCTCGTAATGCACTTGGCCTTGACTTGACACTTACCTGTAGGAATTCTCTAATGGTAAGGACCAAATCTGTTTATCGGCATCGGGCGCGATAATTTGGTACTTGCTCAAAAATGGTACCAGGAGTGCTATATATCGGGGGGAAAATGACAAAAAAAGCAAAGTAAAACAGTCAAAAACCTGCAGAAGACCTTTGTTCTGCGCGGCACTGGACGAGCATTTTTGGACGAGTTTCCCGTTGGCATCGTGCCAGCAACCGCTTTGATAGATACGGCTGCACGTATGTATTCATATATCCATGTAGCAACGCTTCATATCAATTGTACTTCATAAATGAAGCGATAAAAGTCCCAGAGTCGATGTGACTGTGGGCGTTGCGATGGGCGTCTGGGTCGGCATCTTGCACTTTGGCCAGGCGCTATAACCGTGCCCTTAATTGCAAAAGATGCCGCGCTTACTAAGGGGAATGATATTCTTTCGATCGTGCTGGGCGTATCGATCCTGTGCGCCTTGTCGATTTATCGTGCCACTTGCCTCTAAGTTCTGTTGCAGAAATGTGTTCACAAAGTGCAACAACATATAATGGTGACCTTGACTTCAACGTTGCGCATGCCCTCTGAGGCTAGAAGGTCGCTCCGATAACGAGCTTCGCTAACGAATCGATTTCAAGGTGATGGTAATCGATCCAATTGCAAGTGTGCCGTCGTGATGGGACATTGCAACGATGTTTTATGGAGGTGACTGCAAAGTGGGCAGTTTTTTCCTAGTCTGAACTACCGATTAAAACTGTGAAATGAACGGAGTGATATGTGGAGTGATTACCAGTGGCTTTGTTACTAATTTTACTTTGGTTCTGCGTACAAGGTACATCATCGTTATCTGAAACATATGGGGGGGGGGTCGTATTCGGTCTTTGTTGGGAAAGAGGAGGACAGGGGGGAGGGGGTCATATGCGCCTTTGAGAAAAAATTGCCGCGTTGAGAAGAAATTTTTCAAGGTTGGTAAATTTTCGTGATTTTCCCTATTCCATGTGTACTATACTCCCCCCTCCCTCCCTCCCCACACGAGAGTCAAATTTTGGGAAGGCAGGGAAATTTTCGGGAAATTCCGTACATAGTGTAGGAAGCTGGAGACTTTTAGGAAAGCAGTAGGTAGGTGTTGGGGGAAAGGGAGGGGGAGATCGCTCCGAGGCCCTCCCTCGAGGGGAGGGGGTAGTGGTGACACCACCATTTCACACATTATGATGCTGTACCCTGTCTGCGCATTTTTGGCAATCTCAGTATGTATATGTAAACCACGGCCAAAGTTTCAGTCTTATTCAGACACCTGAAAAACCACCATGGATTGATAGAGAAAAGCAGATAGTCAATTTTCAGCTGCGATACAGCAATCAAGTCGATGAGGCTATTAATCGAAATCGAAACACTTGATTACTCTCTTTTGCGTCACTGGTACTAAACAGAGTAAATGGCACGGAAAGTTCAGCCTCGAAAGCTCAGATGCTTTAGAGATCTCAGCTGGAAGTCCAAGAGTGAACAATCGAAATGTTTACCAAGTC